CCAGCACTTCCTCCCGGCCTGCCATGAGGGTAGACCGCTACCTGGTGGTGCTGGCCACCGTGCGGTCCTGCCGTGTGCTCCGGCGCACCCACAGGGGGGCCAAAGTGGCCAGCCTGTGTGTCTGGCTGGGCGTCAGCGTCCTGGTCCTGCCTTTCTTCTCCTTCGCCACTGTGTACCGCAACGAGTTGCAGGTCCCAAGCTGTGGGCTGAGCTTCCCGCGGCCCGAGCGGGCCTGGTTCAAGGCCAGTCGCATCTACACGTCCATCCTGGGGTTCGCACTGCCCGTGTGCGCCATCTGCGCACTCTACGGGGACCTGCTGCGGCGGCTGCGAGCTGTGCGGCTCCACTCCGGGGCCAAGGCTCTGGGCAAGGCCAAGAGGAAGGTGACCATCCTAGTCCTGACCGTGCTGGCCGTGTGCCTCCTCTGCTGGACGCCCTTCCACCTGGCCTCCGTCGTGGCTCTGGCCACAGACCTGCCCCAGACACCGCTGGTCATCAGCACGTCCTACGTCATCACCAGCCTCAGCTACGCCAACTCATGCCTCAACCCCTTTCTCTACGCCTTCCTGGACAACAGTTTCCGCAAGAGCTTCCTCACCATGCTCTGGTGCCGAGAGGCCTGAGCACCCCCGCCACTCCTCTCCTGGGGAGGGGTGTCTATGCTATTTGGGGACGCCCTACCTCCACACCCCATCCCTGTCTCTCCATGCAGAGAGACAAAGGCCCGTGAAGGGTGGCCAGAAGACCTCTGGTGTGATCCTCTCCACCACCCTGGTCCCTGCACAGCCCCTGGGTGGACAGCAGCAGGGACCCTGGTCCCTGCAGGCACTGGGGCCTACTCACCCACAGAGACAGACACACGGACCACCCCTGCACGGCCCTACAAGTGCTCTCTGGACCCACAGGCCCTTGGACAGTGACCCGAGGGGAGCTGGAGCAGAGTCACCCCGGGCAGCAGATCCAAATGTCACCCGAAGGACAAGCACGTGCATATGGAACGAAGCCTTGTGAGCCCCCCTCCCAGCCTCATGTCCTGTTGTAGGCCCTCTGGGCCATGTGGTGCAGGCCCTCACCCCAGGGCTGGCCAGCATCTGGAAGCCCGTTCCCAGAGCTGAATGTTGTCCAGGGCCTGGACTGAGCAGGAGCTGTGAAACTCCAGGGGTGGAGGGGCTCGGAGGTACTGGTTGTGCACGCGGGGTCTGGGCAGGTGACCGCGTAGTGTTGGTTATCTATTGTTGTGTGACAAATGTGACCAAACTTAGCAATGTAACACATGTCTGAATCCAGTGTTTGCGGTCAGGGTCCGGGCGGTCGGGGTTTGGCTTATTTGGTGGCTCTGGCTCTGGATCTCTCCCTCACGAGGCGTTAGTCAGGGTGCTGGCAGAGGCTGTGAACACCTGGAGGCTAGAGGGGGCTGGGTGCCCTCTTCCCACAGGGCCCCCTCACGTGGCTGCGGACAAGAGGCCTCAGTCTCTCCCACGTGGACTCCGCAGGGCTTGCTTGCCCTCGCGATGGCGGCTGGCTCACCGGCCAGGCAGCATGGCGCTCCATCGCCTCGGTGACCTGGTCTCAGAAGTCACTCATTGTCCCCCCACATGTCACGAACCGAGTCTCTAGGTCCAGCCCACACCCAGGGGCTGTGGGATTCACGAAACAACCGCCCCCGCCTTCGCTCCCTTCTGCGGGAGGAACAAGCTGTTTCCCACTGCAGTTCGGCGCGGTCACACCTCGGACGCTGCAGCCTAATTACCAGGCAGCCTCTGAGAGCTCCTTCACAGGCAGGGGGAGGGCGTCTGTGAGCAGCGTGCAGTGAGCAGGAGCGGGAGAGCCCACAGCCACAGGCAGGGGCGTGTGGTCAGGTCAGGCCTCCCGCTCCGCCCAGACATTCCCTCAGGGGTGTCACCTCCACTGGGAGACTGGTGGGGACCAGGAGGCCAGGCCCTGCCAGTGATCTGCAACCACCCCGCCAGGGAAGAAGGGTCCTTACCCTGGGCCCAGCAGGACTCTGGGAGGTGGGACATCTGGGCTCTGGGCTCTTCCAGGAGCTGCGGAGCCAGTCCTGGACCCCCTGCACCCAACACTGTGATCTTCCTTCCTGATCCGCGGACAGGGCTGCCTTGAACAGCCGGCTCTGGTCCCAGGGAGAGCCTAGTCATAGGCCCACCCCTTTCCCCTCCAGCCCCTACCTCATCACTGCCCATGCCCACCTCGCGAC